TTACGAAAATGTCAATTTAAAACTCTGCAAGCTCTGAATACAAGTTGCAAATTTTGTTTTAAATGACATTCCTCCATTCTTCATGAATCCTAATAAATCAAAAATGAATCAAATTGTAGGAAATAATTACTCACCTTAATTACCCATCTATTAACAAAATAATAGATAAACATTTCATAAATAGAATGTTTGGAGGCATTTTAGATATAGACATTTCATAAATAGAATGTTGGGAGGCATTAGATAGACATTGCCTAAAATTAATGTTGGGAATCATTTTAGATAGACATTTCATTAAAAGAATGTTGGGAAAAATAATAGATAAACATTTCATAAAAAGAATGTTGGGAGGCATTTTAGATAGACATTTCATAAATAAAATGTTGGGAGGCATTATAGATAGACATTTCATAAATAGAATGTTGGGAGGCATTATAGATAGACATTTCATAAATATAATGTTGGGAGGCATTATAGATAGACATTTCAAAAACAGAATGTTGGGAGGCATTTAAGATAGACATTTCATAAATAGAATGTTGGGGAGCATTATAGATAGATATATCATAAATAGAATGTAGGAAGGCATTATAGATAGATATTTCATAAATAGAATGTTTGAAGGCATTTTAGATAGATATTTCATAAATAGAATGTTGGAAGGCATTATAGATAGATATTTCATAAATAGAATGTTGGGAGCCATTAGACAGACATTAAATAGGACATGCATTGATAGGACTTGGGAGACATTACTTAAAGATAGACATTTAGATATTTCTTTAATAAGACATAGAGAGTCCATATAGATTTCTAAGATAGGACATTCCTCATAGACATTACAGGTAGACATTTCTTAAATAGAACATTGGAAAACATTAGCTAGAGATATACATTCCTTAAATAGGACATTGAGAGATATTGAAGATCAGATATGCCATTATAAAAAATGAGGATTGCTTAAACTTTGGTTTACATTCCTGTTCCAGTAAATGCCCGTCCTTATTTTGTCCTCTCATTCTGAAGCCGTCTCTTTACCACGTCTCTCTCTCTTTCTCTGTCTCGTTACCACGTCTCTCTCTCTTTCTGTTTCTATGAAATATTCTCCCTCTCCTCCTGGTGTATCGTTGTGCCACTGGTCTCACAGCATAGTTAGTCAAACTTCTGTAGCCAACCCTTAACTATCACTTTTATCACGGTTATCATACAATATAAAACAAATTAAATCAAATCTAGTATTTATTACATGAAGATTTCAAATTTAATTAAATCAATTAAAATACTTAAAATACTACCGTAAATTCAAGGGATTCTCCATGCAAAACTGGCATAATCAGATACATAATCAAATAGATTAATAACAATACAGAGAGAACACCAGACGTAGTTTTTTCAAGATTTAAGGGTTTTTCGTTGACACTAACCTTGAGGCAGACATGCCCTAAGGAGTTCTGCGCAGGCAGCATTGAATTACAAGACACAGAGAGAGAGTATGCGTAACTCTGCCTCAGGGTTATTGTGAACGAAAACCCCCTAAATCTGAAAAAGACGACATCTAGTGTTCTATCTTGTTTCATATTAATCTTTGCATGATCTAAGCATTAAAATAGAACAGATTTTCGAGTTTAAAAGTAAAAGTCGAAATGTGAACACATTTTGTTAGAGCATTATAAGGAAACTTGGCATGCAACGTTCATTGGTAACTTTTTTTAATTATTCTATAGGATTTTGAAAACTGTCCATTTGCAAGGTTTAAACTATGAATAATACCCTTAAAAAGGTTGTTTGTAAAAATTGTCTTCACACACAATAGGGAATCCTGGAGTTTCTGGAGACATATATAAAAAACTCTATGCTTCTCTTCAAATTTCCTATAGTGGTGAACTACAAAAACAAATTTTTGATATTTATTTGTTTACTAGCATTTGTTTACTAGTTTTTTTACTAGTTTTTGTTTACTAGCTTTTTTTTACTAGTTTTTTTTTAACTAGTTTTTTTACTAGTTTTGTTTACTAATTTTTGTTTACTAGTTTTTGTTTACTAGCATTTGTTTACTAGTTTTTTTTTACTAGTTTTTGTTTACTAGTTTTTTTAACTAGTTTTTTTTACTAGTTTTTGGTTACTAGCTTTTTTTTACTAGTTTTTATAACTAGTTTTTTTACTAGTTTTTGTTTACTAGCTTTGTTTTACTAGTTTTTTTAACTAGTTTTTTTACTAGTTTTTGTTTACTAGCTTTTTTTTACTAGTTTTTTTAACTAGTTTTTTTTACTAGTTTTGTTTACTAATTTTTGTTTACTAGTTTTTTACTAGTTTTTGTTTACTAGCATTTGTTAACTAGTTTTTGTTTACTAGTTTTTGCTTACTGGCATTTGTTAACTAGTTTTTGTTTACTAGTTTTTGTTTACTAGTTTTTGTTTAATAGCTTTTGTTTAATAGTTTTTGTATACTAGTTTTTGTTTACTAGGATTTGTTTACTAGTTTTTGTTTAGTTGTTTTTGTTTACTAGATTTGGTTTACTAGTTTTTGTTTAGTTGTTTTTTTTCACTAGTTTTTGTTTAGTTGTTTTTGTCTACTAGTTTTTGTTTACTAGTTTTTGTTTACTAGCTTTTGTTTACTAGTTTCTGTTTACTAGTTTTTGTTTACTAGTTTTATTTACTAGTTTACTTATTTGAATTTGATCTGTTGTCAAAAACATATTAGATGTTTCCTCCAAAGTTTTGACAGGCTTATTGATTTCTACTCCAAACCAATCCTCTGCAAAAGGCTAAATTGTGTTGTTTGCATAAAGTAGGTGGGAAACAGAAGGCTTTGGAAGAAAGGTCGTCTTTGTAGATGCACTTTTGAAATTTGCAAATTAAGTTAATATGGAATGCATGAAAAGATCGATTTGTAGATGCCCCTAAGGTTTCATCCTTTACAAAATATTCTTGATTCAGAGGTTTAGTCATTTCAAAATATTTGTTTTTAAAGATAATATAATCAACATGTCACTCTTATAGGTAGTGATGGCAAAATAATGAAAGAGAGTGTGATATCGAATAGGATTCGATATACTTTTATCGGTTGCGTGTTTAAGGAGAAAATGGTTAAAAACGACAAATAGTGGAGAACGTAAGAGCCATACAAATTCACGTAGTTGCATTTATCTATATAAATTGTAATCTCTGTTTGTCTGTTTGTTATGGTGTTTGTTTGTTTGTTTGTCCGATCAAAAGTTAGGAACCCCCTGGACCTATTTTGATTGGGGAACTCGGGAGAGCCACGGGAATGTTCTTAGCTAGGTTTTGAGACTCTAAGTTGAGTAGGTCGGCTTTAATAGCGAAAATTTGGTTTCCAGGTAAATCGTTCAAATGCGGGTAAATAAAGTGTGTTCCACGAAAGATGCCAGTTTAGAATTGACCAAGTTTGAATATGCTATAATTCTCCGTAATTTCATCTTCCAGTTCCTGTACTAACTACATCTGTAGTTGGAGCTGGCATCAGATTTAGAATTTCTCTCATCTCATCTTGTTTCAAATTCTGCAGAATGTGGTGGATCGCTTGGAAATCCATGAACTCCACTATCTCCTCTGAATTCTTTTAATACATTTATGCTGACCAGCCTGGGTTTTTCTCGCTCATACACTGTCATTACTTCTGCTAATGCTGGAGATATTTTTATGATATTCTGGTGTGGTCCAGCTCAATACGATCTTAACTTGTCGAAACTTCCAGGTACAATCTTTGAATCAAAGATTGTCCACAGGGGCGGATACATTCGCCCCCCCCCCTGAATTTGGAATTTTTTGTTCCTATTTTCAGAATAGCTTCTCAATAGCATCCTTAAGGGAAAGAAACCCTAGTGCAAAACAGGAAAAATATCTGTCTTAATAAACTATAATGTGTGAAAAGTTAAAAATCTAGTTTTCCTAATTATGAATTTTTTTGTTCCTTAAAAATCTTGCCCCCCCCCCCCCTCACTTAAATCCTGTATCCGCCCCTGATTGTCCAACCTCAAACTGTGACAAAATTGGTTTGTAGTATTGAGCATTCCGACATACTGTGGCACATGGTTTCTCTCTCATGACCAGCATAATTCCTCTGGAACCTTTCTTGCATCACTTCAGTCCAGTCTGATAACTCCATTTCTCTGTCAGGATATATCCAATTAACAGGAAGTGTAGCTTCTTGTCCGAACATGGCAAAGAATGGGGTTTGACCCGTGCTATAGTATGCACGGTTGTAATGTAATTTGCAATGGGCCTCAATATTTGCTACATGTTTATTTTTCTTAGCTTCTACGTTGTTTTTAAGCTTTTAAGGTTTTACCATTGTAAGTCAGGCATGACCATCTTTGCATGGAGGTGCACAAGTTTGACGATTGGAAACCATTTTTCTGATTAAACTTGTAATTTGTCCTCTTTAAAGTGTCGTGTTTTGTTGGACACACTGTAGCTACCTTGGGGGTATAATCTAACCAAGAAAACCAAATTATACATTTTCTATCATTATTCTCATTTCCTCTGGATACAATGCACCATACATATTTGATCAACAAATATTAATATTAATATGAAAAGGCTTATCTTTTGTACAACTGGAGATTTTTGAGGGTATACCGTTACATAGTAATCCAACATACCCTCTAACACAGTAGTAGAGTTTATATGCTTTTGTGCAAAAATCTATAAGTATTTTACCAACTACTCATTTTAAACTAAAGTTAGAGGCAGTGCGCTGTGGAATTAAAATATTTAAGTAAGTTTATAATTTAAAACCAAGGGGTCGAGCAAGACACTTAAAAGCTGACCAGAGGCTAAATTTTAAAAAATTGCGATTGAGGCTACTTAAAAGGGACTTGTGGATTTCTGCTCACAGAAACTGTGGGCATAAAACACTTTTTAAGTTTTAAAAACGATGATATTGTCCACAAATATCAGATATAGGTTTGAAGGGTATCTTTGTAAATCGGACAATCTGAAAATGGGAATCACTTGAAAATACTACGAAAGCCCCATATAAAGCTAATAAAGATCAAGTACCAAAATAAAAGATTTTGTCAATTAAATTAAATACTTTCAGGCAAATTAAAAACTAAATATCATGACGTTCTTCGGAGATGTTTTCCTAGATTCAGATAGCGGAGAGGACTTCAGGCGAGGGATCCAGGGATTCACTTTAAGTTTTAATGGATCAGTAGAAGGAGGAATCATGGGATCCAATGGATCAACTCTGGATCCGCCTGAGATATTCTGTGGCTATATTCCTGATACTGAATCCATATCGGTAATTATTAGTATAAAAAGGGTTAGTAACAAATAGGAAGAATGTATATTGTATAATGCATCCTTAATTTAACCGATGTTTCGCTGTTTTAATAACCAGTGCTTATACTTTCAAAACTGTAAACACCTTATTAAGTGCATGATATAGAAAGAACACATTTAACCCAATCAATGTTTTGGTGTTTATACTTCAGTACTTGTTGAAAAACCATTCAGTAAATAATATAAATAGTACAGATTTCACAGATAATGTCTTAAGTCCCTGTAATCTTTTTTTATTTCTAGAATCTGAAAAGGATAATCTCGAATCTTCTCAGTTTCTGTTTAGGAAAGCAGTTCGAAGTTGAAATTAATCTTAAACCTTTCAAATTATTCTCAAACTTAAATTTCAAAAATATTATCTAAAAACATATTATTTACATTGAAACCAAATTATCATGACTTTTTATCTGGTTCGTTTTTAGAGGATTTCTTGTTCCTGTGAAATGAATTAAAAAATGTATTCTGAGAATTTTTTTATTAATTTTATGTAAAATTTTGACTCGCCTAAAGTTATTATTCAAAAAGAACATACAATTAAATTATCTGAAATTCTTAGCAAAATCAAATAATGACTAATGAAAGAAATTAAAATCTAAATAAAACAACATTGGAAAAATCTGCTCATTTAATTTTTAAATTGATCCTTCAACATTGTTTAAGAATATATGAGAGTTTATTTTTATAATGTTTTCTTTTCTATTTTTGAAAATATTTATCATTTTCTAACATCGTATCCATTCCAAACTTGATCTGAATGTCTAGCCGTGGTTGGAATACTGGGAAACTGCTTTTCTCTTCTGATTCTCCTCAGGTATAAGGAAAACAATTAGATTTTAAGGAGATTCTGAAAACTTTGGAATAAGACGACGACATTTAAGCAATATGACATTTTTATTTTTGATATTGCTTTAAAGAATAAAATCTTACAATTACAGAGTTTTTTTTTGTTTCTTTGGGTCGTAATGTATATCTATAGAGAAAATATTAAATTCAAATTAGGATACAATCATACAGGGCTAGATAAGACTTAGCGTATTAAGGAGGGGGGAGGCGAGACGTCCCTCTTTCCATGGAAAAATTATGGGCGCAAGAAGAAAAAGCCCCTTCTAGCCCTTTAACTTCAAGGAAAAATTTTTAAAAATTTTCCTGCGGCGCCACTTCAGCGCTGAAAATGAATAATTGTTAAAAAATATTCAAAAAATCCTAAATTTTGTTATATATTTTCTTACCCCCAGCTTGTACTTATTTTAACACAAAATGGCGTAACTCCCTGCATAAAATTCCAGGGGGGGGGTATTTATCAATTATTAACCCCCTCCCCCCTTATATCTAAATCTGTCCCTAAGTAGACTGCAGAACACACTGTAACTGTCTTTGCCATATATTTTTAGTTCCCTAAACTTTACTTTGTTTATTTCTCTGTCAGAATATTTGATATATAATACACCATTCAGATCTTAATATTTGATATATAATACACCATTCAGATCTTAATATTTGATATATAATACACCATTCAGATCTTAATATTTGATATATAATACACCATTCAGATCTTAATATTTAATATATAATACACCATTCAGATCTTAATATTTAATATATACTACACCATTCAGATCTTAATATTTAATATAAAATACACCATTCAGATCTTAATATTTAATATATAGTACACCATTCAAATCTTAATATTTATAATTTATAATACACCATTCAGATCTTAAAATTGTATTTATATAATACACCATTCAGATCTTTATATTTAATATTTTAATATAATACACATTTAACAGGGTGTCAGGTTCTACGTTAAGTATAGGTATAACCAGAAAACCGTGGAATGAGGAGACGACATAAAAGCAATAATTATCTCAAGTTGATGTAGTTACTACTATGATAACCACAAAACTCTGGAATAAGAAGACGACTTTTTCACTGTCTTCATTGCTTTAAAAAATCCAATGGGCAGGAAACATAGCAATTGTGCAATGTAAACAGACACATTTTTACTTAAGCCATTAGTAAAACTATTTCCTTTGTAACAACATCAAATATGCCTAATGTTGTCTTTCTATTCCGGAAATTTATGGATATCACAGTAGTAGCTTATAAAATCCCTTATTAACTCTAATCGGTCTGTTTACAATGCGAAATTGCTGTTTATCATGTTTATTTTATTATTATAAGTCAAAACTTTAGTCTAAAAGTCGTATTCCTATTTCAACCCAGAGTTTTCTGGTTCTCACTGCAGTAGGATATATTTCTGAACCCTTCAGAATATGTCAATGTGAACTAAAATATGCATACTTTCTGACGTGAAAATCTTGCAAAATTTTGCAAAATAATTTGCAGATTTGAAATTTGCAAAAATATATAAACTTATTAAATATCTAATTCTGTTCAGTCTCAGGAACGTATTTTTGAATATTTGATCTTGTTCCCAGACACAATCTTTTTTGGAACGTGTTCTAATAATCATGAACTATCTAGTATCTAGAAAATATTGATTAATTTTCCTGGACAAAGTGTACGGAACGTGTTCCTTTAACTAAATATTTATTAATGTTCCTAGACAAAGTGTACGGAACTTGTTCTTCAGCTAAATATTTATTAATGTTCCTAGACGAAGTGTACGGAATGTGTTCCTTCAACTAAATATTTATTAATGTTCCTAAATGAAGTCTACGGAACGCATTCCTTTAACTAAATATTTATTAATGTTGCTAGACAAAGTGTACGGAACGAATTCCTTCAACTAAATATTTCTCAATGTTCCTAGACCAAGTCTACGGAACGCGTTCCTTCAACTAAATATTTATTAATGTTCCTAGACGAAGTCTACGGAACGTGTTCCTTCAACTAAATATGCATTAATGTTCCACTGATGATGTTCCATCTACTAAATATCTATTAATATTTTTAGACCGAGTCTACGGAACGCGTTCCTTCCATCTAATATTTATTAATGTTCCGTCACAGAGTTTACGGAACGTGTTCCATAAAATACTAAATATGTATTTATGTTCCTTGACCGAGTCTGCGTATAGTGTTCCATATTTTTTTGTCTAGACCAAGTCTACGGAACGTGTTCCATCTGCTTCTTGCAGCTTTGTGTCTCTCTGACACAATTTTCCTTATCGTGAATATGCTGGTGGATCCTCCAGGTATACTTCCTATACATAGTCATAAAGTAGTAAATACATAGAGCTACATTTAGTCGTAGAGTAGTAAACCCATAGAGCTACATTTAGTCTTAGAGTAGTATACACATAGAGCTACATTTAGTCGTAGAGTAGTAAACCCATAGAGCTACATTTAGTCTTAGAGTAGTATACACATAGAGCTACATTTAGTCGTAGAGTAGTAAACACATAGAGCTACATTTAGTCATATAGTAGTAAACACATACAGCTTCATTTAGTCATTTACATTTTGTTATGGAGTAGTAAACACATAGACTTGCATTTAGTCTCAGAATGGTTAAAACATAGAGTTGCATTGAGTCAAAAAATGGTAAAAAATAAATAGCCGAATTTAGTCGTAGAATAGTAAACACATAGAGCTGAATTTATTCAGAATAGTAAACACATCTAGCTGCAGTTAGGCAAATAATCCATTCAGTATCTTTTCATTTATAGTTTCTGATAACTACATTTAGATATTTTGTCATTAAATAATATTTTCTTTTTTGCTCCTAAGAGAATTCTTACACTTAATGCAATTTTACGACCGTTAGATTTTTCGGGCTAAATGGAATTTTTTGATACAAAGAAGGTCAAAATAAGAAAAATATGACAATGTTTTCACCTTCCGTTTTATAAAATGAATTGGTTTACTTTTTTTAAATTCAGCTTTAGTACATTTTTTCAGTTGTTAGGCACCAAAACAGGCTATTCAAGGAACTAAAGAGTTATTTCAAATGGCTCTCCATTGTATCAATGCCAATGCCCGATTGTTTGAACAAGCATGAATTAAATGTTCATAGTTTTGATAACTGATTTTCAATTCCAGTTTCTTCACAAAATTGACTTGTGCATTTCTACCGCAGGGACACCCTGGAAAAATGACGATATCCACATTTATTAATCAGATAAAGGTTTCAATGCTTCCTTGAAGTTAAACCATTGATGCCTTATTGCTTAAGTTTTATTTCAGATTTTATAGCTGGTTGGATAGATATGAAGCTTTTGAGAGTTGGAGCTGAGAGTTCCTGTCATGTTACCTTAGCTCTCAGGTACTGGGGCATATTTTTCTAGAAAAATCTCCTTCCCCCTTTTTTAATCATTTTTACAGGTTTTTTTTGTTAAATTTGGGAAAATAAATGATCAACTATATAGTATAATAAATATACACCCCTGGTATACACTCCATATACTTCAGACACATGGATTAACTATAGGATAAATTGTCGGCGCGGTCCGCCCTGTCTAAGTAGGCTGGCTCAGATTTACTAATCATACAGCTGTATATACGTGTATAAATTAAGATAATCAATCAATCTTCCTGTAGGAATTAGGGTTATCATAAATGTTGCGCACACTATTTCTGCAAAATCATCTGTTCACAGTGGGTTTATTTATAGTGACTTAGACCAACTATCACGTTGTGTTTTTTCTTAAAATTTATGAATTACAGTGGTTTTATTAAAATAATTCACGAAAATAATAATTTTTACTTTTCATTAGTGATTTGAGTTTTTTTTTCTGGACATTTTTGTTCAATATATATAAATATAAACTGAAAGATTTTGAAATTCATTCACCTATCTTGTAATATTTGTTTTAAATTTGCTCTAAAGCATGCCAGCGACAAACACACTAAAAATAATTGGATAAATTTTAAAGAAAGATACTGCCTTAATCATCCTCAAAAAGAAATTGTGGACATTTGTAAAAACTCCATAAATTTTGAAAATTGCATGAAAAAATTGTTTTTTTCAGAAAATGACTCAAAAAGTTGTCAATCAATTTACATTCAGATGTCCAAATTTTTTTGATCAAGTGTATCTTGTCCCTGGGCATGACCCAGAACACCGTTATAATCTTCTAGTAAAACTTGTAAAAAAATATCTTGCCATAAGAGTTCATAAATTTATCAAAAATCACAATGTAGAAACAAAAAAAGTCAGGAAGAAGCTTACAAAGCTTGTTCATTTTAGAAATGAATAAATGGTATTTAATAATATGCTTGTATTCTTTACTTAAAGACACTTTTTTGTTTTGTTTTCAAAATTTTCTTTAGCTTTTTTGGTGTAAAGATACTGGATATCCAAACAAACATGCGAATTATACGTAAATGATAAACAGACAAAAGTTTAAATAAAGAAAATTAGTCTTGGGCTTTCCAAAATGTGGTAAGTTTGTATGCAATTTTCACATATTTCCACTTATTTCAGTTTTCAATTTGTTTAAATAAAGATATAGGAAACTTTATATTTTTGAAGATACATAAAAGAAATTATTTTGAATTTTTAGCTTTTAAAAGTAAATATAACCTCAGATTGGTCAATGTAAATCAAATGAAGATTCCTAATTCAATATTTGTTGGGACACTCGAGTAACCGAGTACATATACTAGAGTTTAGTTAATAAAGGTTTTTAATTATAATTTTACAAAATTGAAAATTTTCTTTTTATTCTTATTCTGTTTTTTTTTAGCTTTATGATAGTAGCTAAGGGTGCTGCACAAACTTAGTTTCTAATTTGCAAAAAAAGATTGAGATAGCACCATACTGTACGCCCACTGTGCATCTTGTACAAAAAGGTTCCGGCATTGAGCATTTTCAAACGACGCGTACCGGCTTATCAGACGCCCGTACGCGTCAACCCTGCTTCCTGTCTAGTTGTTCCATGTTCAGACATAATATTTACATTAGAATATGTCAAAACTATATTCGTATATTTTTGTTTTCTTTTTAGTATTTTCATCATCATGGGAATCACTCTGGAAAGATATCAGGTACAAACATTATGTTTATTGCAAGAATGCAATTTACTTATATGCTAACAGAACATTTTCTTCTACTCATATTTTTCATATTTTGCATACATCTTTAATATCAAATTTTTGTTAACAAAAAATTGTGCGTGTCTTTTTTTGCAATTTAAATTCAAACTATTTTTATTTTATAGAGCGAATTATTTCGTTCGTTAAGGGTATGAAAATTAATATTTTTTTTTCTCCTCTTTAACAGAATTTTTCGTTAATTTTTAAAATGCCCCCAGCCCTATTTATACAATGTCCTACAAAAAACATGTGAACACAATATTTGTGGAGAAATATCCAAATAACAAATATATCAGTACTAACTTCTATTTCTCATATAATAAGCTTAATAAATTCTCCAAAAATCCTAAAAATACTTCGTCTGAAGACAATGCAAGCAGAAAAGTGCCTCTGCAGAAATCCTAAACTTTATCCTACTTAATTGCATCTTTTAAATTGTTATTAGTAATTTTAAGTGAGCAAATAGTAAAAGTCCCCTGATAGGTTGAGACAGAATTCCTTCAAGAAGAATAAAGTTTCAAGTTTTAAATTGAAAGAGTTTCAACTTTCCTGCAATTTCACATCACTTGTCACATGCTTTATTAACCACAATATTTAACTTTCCATCAAGGGGGAACAGGACTAATATCATGGATATTGAATGACTGTTATTAGGTTAAATGAAAGGCGGTATAGGTTAAAGACTAAACATTTAAGAGTTGATCGCTACCATTATTAGTTCTATTTATTTAATTAAATAAAAACTGTGTCCCAGTTTTTAGAAAACTCTTGAGACATGAACATCAGAGAGAACTATTATTGGTCGCAAAACATTTTGCATCAAAATACCGCGGTAGTGGACACATGCAGTACAGTGTAGAAAAATATAATTGTACTTTGAATCCATATTTATTCTAGGTTGTACTGACCAACCCCTCTATTCGCCAAAGTGCAGCAGAGAAGAGTACAGGTGTACTTATCTTGAAGTTCCTCACACCAGCCCTAGTCTCAGCTGTACTCTTTAACCTTCCAAGAATACTTTCCAAAAATGAATCTCTGCAGTCAAACACAGAATTCCTGAGGTTAGAATAAACATCAAGCTGTGCGTGGATGAATCTGAGCTGACAATTCTTTTATTTAACACCTATATTATTTTAAGACTAAAGGAGTACATCATCACATCATGCTGCTTTTTTAGTATAAGTTCTTGTTGTAACTTCAGGAGACTGAGAGACAATTACAGTTAATTCGTGCCAAATAATAAACAAATGGTTTTGATTTAATACCAGCTTTTCTTGATGTACAATTGACTATTTAAAAAGATTTATCAGCCTGTTTTAATTATAAAACATATTTCATATTATGCGTCAGTCAAATCCTATTAGAACCAGGTTCCAGATATTATTCCAACTGTTCCATCCTATTGGAATTGTTTTATGTTTAGGTTCCAGATAATATTCCAACTGTTCCATCCTATTGGAATTGTTTTATGTTTAGGTTCCAGATAATATTCCAACTATTCCATCCTATTGGAATTGTTTTATGTTTAGGTTCCAGATATTATTCCAACTGTTCCATCCTATTGGAATTGTTTTATGTTTAGGTTCCAGATAATATTCCAACTGTTCCATCCTATTGGAATTGTTCTATGTTTAGGTTCCAGATAATATTCCAACTGTTCCATCCTATTGAAATTGTTCTATGTTTAGGTTCCAGATAATATACCAACTATTCTATCCAATTGGAACTGTTCTATGTTTAGGTTCCAGATAATATTCCAACCATTCTATCCAATTGGAACTGTTATATGTTTAGATTCAGATAATATTCCAACTATTCCATCCTATTGGAACTGTTCTATGTTTAGGTTCCAGATAATATTCCAACTATTCTATCCAATTGGAACTGTTCTATGTTTAGGTTCCAGATAATATTCCAACTATTCCATCCTATTGGAACTACGGGATTACTTCCTCTAATTCTTCTAGGAATTCTCACATTCAAAATGTTCACTAGGTAATTTGTTTCAATAATAATCTAAAAAGTGCATTTTAGCTAAAGATAGCTTGAAATATTGAAATATTTCTTTTTTTTTAATTTCTTATTTTTGGATTCAAGCAGGGCTTCCATGAGCAAAAAGTTTTTTATTTAATTTGAAGAAAGCTTGACAAAATTATGAAAAATTGCCTTGAAAAATAAAAAAATATGTTTATATGTTAATTTTCAAAAAACTTACCTTTGAGACAATGCACAAATACTGATTTATACATTCGTTAATTTTCGTGAAATGATGCTCAAATTTTCATCTTTCTTCCTGATCTCCATAACTAATAAATTTACACAAGCTGTGACTTTTGATCACAAAATGCACAAAATCACAAAATTTGCATCTTTCTTCTGATATCCCTAACATCAGAGACACTGGAAAATAGTTTACACAAATCTAATATCACGGGGATTTTTAAGTTTGGTCCTAAACCTAGCACTCTGTGACTTTTGATCACAAAATGTCCTGTAAGGCTTAAATTTTACGCCTTTTCTCATTTACACTTTTCTTGGCATATTAAAATAATTAGTTTAGAATCAAATTAAAAAAAAGTAAAAAAAGACAACTCTGTGAGTTTTAAAACTAATGAATTTAAAGAAAACAACATTATTAAATTCAAATAGAAGAAACTGAATGCATCTCGCCCTGGTTAGTCTAGTGTGATAGTGAAATGCAGTATGCAACTTTACTTTCTTCAATCTTTCAGATTTTTATATTGGAATAGATAGTCTTTTTTTCTGTGCCATTCTACAGTTGTACATCTATATAAAAAACATATTTTGCCTATAGCTGGCCATATGGCTGGACTGATTAGACTGAAATTTTTTCTGGACACCCATGGGTGGCCGGGGGGTGCTCTAGACTAAAAAATTTAAATATTTTTTTTTTAAAAATTTTTTGCCACGGGCAACGCCAGGACCTTCAGCTAGTTATAAATAATACAGCAGTTAATTTATTGAAGAAAAAAAAATCTATTAATTTTACGAATATTAAATACCAACTTAGATCAATCCCTCCAGCCTATAGTTTGTGCTTAATACGGGAATACCTATCTTGAAGGAAATTACATTTTATTGTACAGAAATATTTTTTTCTATAATTTTTATCCTCGACTGAATTGAATTTATAATTTTCGTTTTTATATTTATTTTGTGTTTAAAGCTAAAGCAAAAGTATTCATATTAATAAATGAAAGTATGTTTGATTATGATAATTGAATAACTTTGAATAAATTAAGAAATTTCTAAAAGATATGTTTCAAACAATCTATATCTATATCTATAGCTGAAGTAAAAAATATTCATATAAATAAATTAAAATATGTTTGATTTGGAACTTTGAATAACTTTGAATGAATTAAAATTTTTCTGAAAGGTATGTTTCAAACAACCTCAAAATATGCGTAGTGCAAATATTAAAAAGCAAACAGACTCAAAGTTTCAAACTTAATTTAAACTTTGTTTAAAGTTAACTAGTGTGATTGAAACCAGGGGTTCAATGAAAAGATAAACTTGATTTTAAAGCATCTCTTCAGAATCCTCTCCTTCCTCCCCTTCTCCCTCCCCTTCTCACTTCCCTCCTCTCTCCCCTCATTCTCCCCCCCTCCCTCCCCTCATTCCTACCCCCAACCCGCAGTTCTTTCAAACTTTAAAAACAAAACAAAATTAGTAACTTCTTTGAAATAAACAAGTAAACAATACAGGGGTGTATGTTTTTGAAAAATCAGTGCCCCTCCTTAAATAATTTTCTCACCTTGAATGATTTTATCTGTTTTTCTTGTTAAATAAAGGAAAAAGTTATTTTCTGTTCCAAGTTTTTATTTTTTCCCCAAAATTAATTTGTTTTAAATTCTTGAAACATGCACCACTGGGAGGGGGGGAGTCCAGAGTTCCTCAACGAGTAATCACCGCCACCCAAATGTGTTTTGCGGCAAGCGCGCTCCTCAATTGGTAATCTCCACCACCTGAATTAGTAATCATCGTAAAATTTTGTTTTCTGAGATTTGAATTTAATGCACTTTTCACACAATTTTCGACATCTATCGGGGTTTTATGGCTTAAACTAAATTTTCAAATTGTTTTCAGATTTGTTTGGTCAACAAAAACTGAGAATCAAGGAACAGTTCATTTTAGCCGAATCTTAGATCCAATTCGCCCATTTAATGACTGCATTTCATGATTTGCTTTAAGATACTAAAAGGTCAGGCTGCCTGTTTACTAAAAATTATCTCATCCCACGCAAAGTAATATCCATCTCCATTTAAAAGATATTTTCAAAAAACCTTTACAGTGTTTAGATTTTTGTATTCGCCTACTCCAATTCAACATCTACAACAAAACTAATTATATGCATAGAAAGAACATAAAATTTTGAAAAATTAGTCTCATCCTACCCCCTTCTGAAAATGAAGTATTACGTCCACTAATAATGGGTTAAATTTTCCTCTCTATATAAGGAGTTTAAAGCAATAAAATTCAGAGGAAAATGCCGCAAACATTCTTAAAATGAAACTTGAAACCAAAAAAAAACATAATATATTTCTAGCGCTTAGTCTGGCATATTTATAGATTTATTTTCGAAACTAAGGTGCAATAAAGAAAGCTTTAACAATATTGTACACCATAGGGCCATTAACAGAGGTCAATATGGTCTTATTTCTAAGAAATAACCGATTTAATGTTACGCTTATTTTGGCTGAGTACCAATTGAGGTGGTGGAGATTACCAATTGAGGAGCGTGCTTGCCGCAAAACACATTTGGGTGGCGGTGATTACTCGTTGGGGAATTCTGGACTCCCCCCCTCCCACTGGACCTTGAGCTTGGTTTTAGTATTTTAAATTAAAGAATTTGGAGAATGTGATTTTTAGTTTGATTTATTCTTTAAAGGAAAATGATAAATAAAATAAATATTTCATCTGATTTTTGTCAGAGAAAGCTTAACATTTATATAGATTTTAAACTGTTGAAACTATCAAGTTTTAATTGGATACCATGGAATACCTGGAGGATCCAAAAATAAAAAGTAAAACTCTGGAGTCTCAAATTATCCAAACAGCTAAACGAATCAGACTCAAGTTTTTAGTGACAAGTCAAACATTTTGTTCAGAAACATAAACAATGTTTAAAATCTAGAAATAGAGAAAGAGAAAAACATATACAATTTGAAATGTTCGAATCAATTTTCTTCCTCAATTTTGGATCATACATTATTAAATAAAATTTCTTTCAGATCTTTAAAATTTTCAGCTTTTGATCTTTGCAATTCCTGAGTTTTTATAAAATCAGATTACCAAGCATTCAATCTATGGAATGAAAGAGTAGAATTTCTAAACCTCTAAGAAAGTTTTGAATGCATTTTTATCTTTGAAAGTTGAAAATTGGAAATATGACATGGTCCAATCATTTTAATGGTTTGGTTTACTCTTGAAAAATAAGATTAACATTAATATTAATATTATCTTAGCTTCTCTTAAATTATTATTCCTTTATTGTTCCATTGACTGAAGATTTTAGTTCATAAAGGGACTGTTCAGTTTTTAAAAGATACACTGGCGCAGCTTACTTGGTGCACTCCTCATTGCATAGATAGTTTCAGCTTGTTGGTGCACTCCTCATTGTATAGATAGTTTCAGCTTGTTGGTGCACTCCTCATTGCATAGATAGTTTCAGCTTGTTGGTGCACTCCTCATTGCATAGATAGTTTCAGCTTGTTGGTGCACTCCTCATTGCATAGATAGTTTCAGCATGTTGGTGCACTCCTCATTGCATAGATAGTTTCAGCTTGTTGGTGCACTCGATCCTCATTGCATAGATAGTTTCAGCTTGTTGGTGAAAATACTAATTTAAATGCTAACTCAGGATGCTGCTAAATAGGAAGACTACTTTTAGACTACAGTTATGAGTTTAAATAGTCCAATGAGCATGAGTCACAGCACGTCCAAAACACTTTACTTTTGCTTTAATGTCCTCCTCCTATTCCACAGTTTTCTGGTTCTTACTGAATTCCAAAAAATTGTGGCATAATTTTCAAAAGATTGAACAGTTCCTTTAGAAACTTTCCAAAGTATTAAAGGATTAAAGAAAATTCATTGAAAATTAAATAAATCCATGATATAAATAAATAATACAAAATTATAAATACTTTTGCATTTTTCTACAGTTGCAGGCGATTATGTCAATACAATGAAGATGACTTTTATTTCAGTTTTGCTTATTTACAAGCTTTTTCTAAATTACAAGTTTACAAGTAAACAAAGAGAAGCTTTTTTTAATTTAGAGATTCTCTTTGTTTCCATGTTTATTTGTATCAATGCTGTTTAAAAACTTGATATTGACTAAAATTTAAATAGAAAGTCGTCTTCATTGTATTGATATAATCGTCTACCACTGTATGAAATTGATAAATAAATAAACAAAGTTGACCACAAAAGATTAGAATTTGTATGAATGCTCCTTTCTGAGGTTTAATAACTCTCATTAACTTATAACCACTGTAACTTTTGGTTAAAACTTTTATCTAAGTTTGCCTATAGAGTGTCTACCAACTTTATGTAATATCAGAAATTTAGAGAGCTTCTGCAGGCCCCTCTCTTGTTTTTTTAAGTTTTACTTTCAATCCCGTTTTTCTCTGCAACTGAACATCATTTACATTTTAACAGGAATTTTCAATTTGGGGTATATATTTCTTTAATAACAAAATATTTTTTTTAAAGGTATACATTTTAACTTTTACTGGACACAAAAATACATTTTGGCTTTCTGGATTTGGATCCGGATCAGCAAAAAAATGCAGACTCACGGATCCGGATCCAAGGAGCCAAAAATCAACTTAAACCTGTTCAAAAAAAAAACCTTTTGCTCTCAAAAACAAAACTTTTTGTTTCCAAAAAATGAATGAGAGATCATTAACAACTTCCTGAAAAGTGAATTTTTCCATTTAAAATTGTAAACGTCTTGTTATTTTTTGGGTTTTTTTCTTTCTTTAAAATTCAGGAAATCTTCAAGAAATCTTTGTGACATAATTTTTGTTTTGTTGGCCACAGGGAGGTAGTTTAATAAAATTTACCTACCAGCAAAATCTTGAATTGAATTGATTCAAGGGGGGGGGGGCATCTACAGTTAATTTGATGTGAAGGAAGCGGATCAAAGTTTTTATCTATAAAACTTGAGAATTGAGGAATAATTTACGAAGCAACAAATATCCGAACCCAGAACTTTTCCAGCTAGGGATGAACATCGTTTTAGTGAACAAATATGATTTTTAAGAACGAAAAAATAAATTTGGTGTACAATGGTGTTTTTGAAAAAACGATGGAAAAACATTTGGATCTTTCAGAGAAATGATAAAAGCAACCAGGAAAAAAAGAAAAATATTAAATTGCTTTACCGAAATTGAAAAATGATCGTTTTTTACAGAATGAACGATTTTTAGAGCAATCTTATCAAAAACGATATGGTTTTTGCTGAAACGATAATTTTCAGAACTATTTAAAAAACGCACAAAATGGGTCGTTTGCGAACAATGAACAAACAAAATGAAAAAAAGTTGACGGAGCCCATCTCTACGACCAGCAGACTTAAACTTCTTTATCAATTCTCAAACTTTAGACATCAAGGCGAATCTCTCTCTAAAAAGGATGAGAATACAAAAAAAATTAATAAAGTCTTACCAGACATGTTGCATACCAGACATGTTGCATACCAGACATATTGCATACCAGACATGTTGCATACCAGACATGTTGCATACCAGACCAGACATGTTGCATACCAGACATGTTGCATACCAGACATGTTGCATACCAGACATGTTTCATAAGTTTTACCAACATAACTAAAATAAATATAAAAATCTAAGAATTGTTTTACCTCTAATTATGAAAATTTGACGTAAACATGTAAAATTTTTCCAAAAAAAAATTATTCATTATTTTTTGTTCATCGGTCCATAACCAATTTTCGAGAAGGGATGGGGGGGGGAAGGATGGGCTATCTTTGGTAAAATTTTAGTCTTCTATATCTAGCTTGATAATATCCTTTGTGACTTTAGTCTTTGAAATCTAGGCCGGCAAATCGGAAATAAAACAAAATTGCACATTTAAACTGTGCAACTCCTGTCATATCCATAAAAGTGTATCTAATACTCATTTCAACATTTCCTTTTCTGATATTCCCTTTTAGATGTTTCTTTTCAGATGTACTTTTAAAAGATGTATTTTTTGTAAATATTATTATTCCAGAGATATTACTGCTACTAAACATAATATTTGATAAACAATTTTGTTCGTCTTTATAGCTAAAGGGTTTTACGAAAATTGTACTGTCCGTTTTCTTATATTTTGTGATTCCACGCGACTGTAAATTTTTTTCTTTTTTTGCCAAATCAATATAAAAGCCATTTAAAGACTGTACTTAGGATAGAAGAATTAATTTAACCCTGGAATCGTTGAATTTAAAGAGTTTCAGGTCGTCTTCATAGTATCATCCTTAGTGGGTAACCCTGTATATAATGATTAGGGGGGTGTTGGGTCATTTTATAGAAAGACATTTCACAGAAGGACATGTTATATAAAGGACATGTCATAGAAGACATTTCATAGACAGGACATTTCATAGATAGGACATTTAATAGACAGGACATTTCATAGAGGACATTTCATAGGACATTTCATAGGACATTTCATAGGACTTTCATAGAAGACATTTCATAGACAGGACATTTCATAGAAGACGTTCTCTACTAGAGATTTCAACGATAGTGTAACGTAACGTAAAATGTACGTTTTTGTACGTTACGTTACAATAATGTGTTTTTCACAATAACGTTTCGATAATCGTAACGTAAGAAAAGGTGCATTTTAGTAAAATTTCTAAACGTAATTAAAAGAGTTTACATTGGAAAAGTTAAGATAAAACGTAACGTTAACAAAAAATATTCTTTCCACTGAAATGCATTGTAACGTACAGAACTATGCCTCAATGACGTTTTATTAAAGCAAAACGTTTGTCATCTTTTAGATCTTAAACCAAGTGAAAGTGTAACGTAAGGTCTCTGAAAATATTTACCTTGCAGGAAAGTGGAACGTAAAAAAATTGCGGTTTTATTACATAAGCTTTAACGCAACGTTGGGAAAGTTTTTTAAAACGGAAAATGCAAAAGCGTAACAGAGCTTACTGTGTTTCACTAACATTTACTAAAGCTTAACGTTGTATAAGGTATTCAAGTGCAGAGAATTCATAACGTAACGTTACTCTATGCAATAAAATTTCATAATGTGCAACGTAACGTTTCAAACGTTAATACTTTTGATGAACACTATCGTAACGATAGCTAAAATCTAGAAAAATAAAAACGTTGACATCTCTATTCTCTACATTATATTTACTTGAAATATCTATAAAATAAAACAAGACATTCATATATATGCTGCGTATAGCCGGACAAACGGCTGGACCGATCGGGATAAAATTTTTTGTCGACACTCCTGGGCTAAAAAAATTTTTTTCTTATAACTGATAACATGTATTATATTGTTGATTTCAAACGAATCACATTTCCTAAAATTGTGATACAGTTTTAACGTATTAAAACCTTGAATATTGTCTCTGAAAAAAAAAAATTGTGTCTTTGAAATTACCTATCTATAAAAATTCTTCTCTGTCTATGAAATTGCCTGTCTATGAGAAATCTACTTTTTCTATGAAAAGTTCTCTGTATGAAATGTCCTAACTATGTATTTCTTTTTCTATTAAATGTCCTGTTTTTGCCAAGACCGAAATACTTTTTGTATATCTGGATTTCCTATTTAGAATTCCTCTCAAAGTAACAAGAATTTTAAATTATCAATCAGAAAATTTAAAAAAAAATTAAATTTTTTAGGATTCCACTTAATTCCTCAGTTCAGGGTCAGCCCAGGGAATTCCCAGTTCAGATGCAGGTTCAGGTGGGAATACAGTAATCTATATATTTATATATTTTTGGCCTGTTCCTTTGTATTTTATCCAATACAGTAATACAGTAATACAGTAATACAGTAATACAGCAATACAGTAATACAGTAATACAGTAATACAGTAATACAGTAATACAGTAATACAGTAATACAGTAATACAGTAATACAGTAATACGGTAATACAGTAATACAGCAATACAGAAATATAGTAATACAGTAATACAGTAATACAGTAGTACAGTAGTACAGTAATACAGTAATACAGTAGTACAGTAGTACAGTAGTACAGTAATACAGTAATAAAGTAATACAGTAATACAGTAATACAGTAATACAGTAATACAGTAATACAGTAATACAGTAATACAGTAATACAGTAATAAAGTAATACAGTATTACAGTATTACAGTATTACAGTATTACAGTATTACAGTATTACAGTATTACAGTATTACAGTAATACAGAAATACAGTAATACAGTAATACAGTAATACAGTTATACATGAATACAGGAATACAGTAATAAAGTATTACAGTAATACAGTAATACAGTTATACAGAAATACAGTAATACAGTAATACAGTAATACAGTTATACATGAATACAGGAATACAGTAATAAAGTATTACAGTAATACAGTAATACAGTTATACAGTAATACAGTAATACAGTAATACAGAGTAATACAGTAATACAGTAATACAGTAATACAGTAATACAGTAATACGGTTATACATGAATACAGGAATACAGGAATACAGAAATACAGTAATAAAGTGAAAGAAAGAAGTGAAGGCTTAATACACGGTTATGATTGCATATTTTCTCTTCTATAAATAAATTTAGCGTAAATGTCTGTATGTTTGGGTGGGTGTCTGTTTGTTTGTATCCAATAAATGTCAAAACGGCTGAACCGATCGCGCTCACCTGACCCAAGGGAAGGTTTATCAACGATCAAAATTTTAATAATTTGTGCTTAAAAGTTTTTTATTATTGTAAACTTTTGAAAATGCACGAACAAATGTTATGAAATCCGCAAACTTATTTTTGTTTTTGTTTTATACTGTACAAAGAGGAGATGCTCAGAGATCAAGCAACAATTAAAAGTTAAAATAGAAGATGGGCGCGTAGCGCCCTTAAAGCCTAGTTTAATTATAAATGCCTAGGTAGCCTGTAACTTTTAAACCTTTTTGATCTTGGCATTTCTTACAAGGATATCTCAGCTATAGTTTTCATATATAATGTTTTCTTATTACAATTCGCTTTTTGACATTTCTGTGATAAAAGTTGAAACAATATTTTAGTTGATATTTAGACTTCTGTCGATTCCGGGAATCAGGAGATTCAAACAACAACAGTTCTACAGAATCGGCCTATCAGGTATTCAAACAACGACAGTTCTACAGAATCGCCCTATCAGGTATTCAAACAACAACAGTTCTACAGAATCGGCCTATCAGGTATTCAAACTACACCAGTTCTACAGAATCGGTCTATCAGGTATTCAAATTACGCCAGTTCTACAGAATCGGCCTATCAGGTATTCAAACTACACCAGTTCTACAGAATCGCCCTGTCAGGTATTCAAACTACGACAGTTCTACAGAATCGCCCTATCAGGTATTCAAACTACGCCAGTTCTACAGAATCAATCTAACAGGTATTCAAACAACGACAGTTCTACAGAATCCCCCTATCAGGTATTCAAACTACGCCAGTTCTACAGAATCAACCTATCAGGTATTCAAACTACGCCAGTTCTACAAGATCAACCTATCAGGTATTCAAACTACGCCAGTTCTACAGAATCACCCTGTCAGGTATTCAAACTACGCCAGTTCTACTGAATCAACCTATCAGGTATTCAAACTACGCCAGTTCTACAGAATCAACCTATCAGGTATTCAAACTTCGCCAGTTCTACAGAATCGGTCTATCAGGTATTCAAACTATGCCAGTTCTACAGAATCGGTCTATCAGGCTTTCTCTGTATTTCCTAACATTAATATTAATATGATTAGGAAGAGAGCTAAGGACTTCAAGCTATCTCTGTATTTTCTAACATTAATATCAATATGATTAGAGAGAGAGCTAGGGACTTCAAGCTATCTCTGTATTTTCTAACATTAATATCAATATGATTAGGAAGAGAGCTAGGGACTTCAAGCTATCTCTGTATTTTCTAACATTAATATCAATATGATTAGGAAGAGAGCTAGAGACTTCAAGCTATCTCTGTATTTTCGAACTTTAATATCAATATGATTAGGAAGAGAGCTAGGGACTTCAAGCTATCTCTATATTTTCCAACATTAATATCAATATGATTAGGAAGAGAACTAGGGACTTCAAGCTATCTCTGTATTTCCTAACATTAATATCAATATGATTAGGAAGAGAGCTAGGGACTTCAAGCTATCTCTGTATTTCCTAACATGAATATCAATATGATTAGGAAGAGAGCTAGGGACTTCAAGCTAGCTCAGCTAGTGATAGTGTTGGCTCTGGTCTTTCTTACACTAAACTTTCCTCGCCTTGCTATTGGAATATATGAGGTAAAAAGATTTTTATTTGAAAAATGTTTTTCTTTGTGTTTTTTTATCTGAAAGCAGAAGAGATTTGGGAATTAAATCTCGATTGGATTCTTTCTTATTTAGATTTTAAAAATCTAGCTTTTTTGAAAAGTAGAAAAAAGTAAAATAACACTTTGGACTTTAAATCTAAGGAGTTGATATTCCCACACTCTAAAAAATGCAATTTTGGTCTTTAGCATCAGGCATCAAAGTTCTTCTTTCATATTTCAAATTTCTTCTTTCATTACTCAAATTTTGTTGAATATTTTCCAAATTTACAATCTAACAAAACTTGTTAATAGCTTACACATTGTTCTCTCAGCATGTGTCAAACTTTGTTATATGACATCTTTCTTTTGTCATGTTACAGTTTTCTTTCATTTAACAAAATTTGACGAATGATTCTACTAAGGTGTATTTGAGTCCGGTGCTCCAACAAATTTTGTTAGATGAAAATTTGAGATTTCTTAGAGTGCACCTAATGTTTATTAGGACATTTTAAGAAATTATCTCACAATTAATACCTTAAAAATTAGATTTTTGAATTAATGATGAAGTGGGGTAAACCAGTAATAATAATAAAGAAAAAAGCTACTAAGGAATTGATTCTTTGTCACAAAATCAGATTTTCTAATCCCTATATCTTTGCAATCAAACGTCGTTTAGACCTTAGATATTTTAAACTGTGAATTCTGTTGGAACAAATAACCTAAGTTTAAAATATTTAAAGCTCACACCCTCAGGTTTCAAAAATATAGGGATTAGAAAATTTGAGAATGTTGCTAAGACTCAATTCCTTCATTACAATTAAAGATGTTTAAAATGTTTCTTTTAAGTTTCCAATGAAAAAAGTCTGATTTCCCAGAAGAATAGCTGATAGTAAAGCAATACTAGTGTTTGGAAAATCAAATTGGATTGCCTGCAGTGATAACTGAAAACTAGAAAACTATGGAATGCGAAGACGACATTAAAACAATATTGAACTACATATCATGTTGTTACAAAGCAAATAGCTTTATAAGTGAGTGATAAAATTAACTTATTAATTGAAATGGGTCTGGTTACACTGCACAGTTGCTGTTCATTGGACTATCAAAAGTCATGCCTTGAGTCTAAAAGTCAACTTTCTATTCCAGAGTTTTCTAGTTCTTGTATTTCTAGGCTAATGTGGTGTTTAGGCGCCTAGCTATAATGTATATAGGTGTTTAGGGCAACCCTTCCAGTAAAAAGTTTAGTTTTGAAATTCTGCTTTACATGCCAACAACATGTGTTACTCTTACTCTTATTCTAATTCTTATTTTGTTATATCACTATAATTAATGTCTTAAATTATAAGATTACTAGCCTTAGAGGGCGCTTTGCGCCCATTTTCTAAATTAATTGTGAACATGTTCTCTTTGTGTGCCTCGTAAAACAAAACAAAAATAATTCGCGGATTTTCACAAAAAATTTCGTGGATTTTCAAAATTTTAAAAAATTTAATGACGATCGAATTTTGATGGAGACAACTATTTGAAATTTTGATCATTCATAAACCTTCCCAGTGGTCACGTGATGTCCCACAAAAAAATTGGGCCCGATCGGTTCAACCGTTTTGACGTTTATTGGATACAAACAGACAGACAGACAAACAGACAAACAAACAAACAGACAAGCCAAATTTATATCAGCTTTTACTAATCTCTAACTAAACCAATTTTACGTCCTATAATATGAATATTATTTTCTGGACTATTAGACATGGTTAATATATATTTATAATTATTGTATCCTTGAAATTTCAAGGTGGGTATGGTCAGCTGCAGAAGATACTGAACTGTCAGCAAGGCGGAGAGTTCTAATAATCTTGTTTAGGTCCTACAGCTGCAGAAAATATTAAACTGTCAGCAAGGCGGAGAGTTTTACTTTCCTCCAACTCTTCAATGGAAGATGGACATTTTTGCTCAGGTAACGTTTTTTCAACGTTGCGTTCTGACGGCGCTTGGTCATGTGATGTAACTTGACTTGTTGTGATCCAGATTAAAAATGACTTTTCACTTTAAGAGAACGGTTATATTGAAGAAAAAAGCTAAATTTTTCTTTCTTTATCAGCATGAGTTAATTTGTATTAACACAAGGTTTTAAGATTTCAACATAAAGATCAACGTTAAAGGAATCAATGACTATTTTTCCTATTCATATATTTAGAAGGATTAATTGAAGAGCCATCTGCAAAATGAATTTTCAAATTCTGACACATGAGCTGCACTGGGACTTTTGTTTGGATACCCTTTATCCCGATTGTTTTATATCGACATCCACAGAGAGCACTTTTGAATTTAACACTAAATCGATCTGCTTGATCTCTTGATTTTGAATTTATGCAATTTCTCTGTTTTCTCATTGGTTGACAGCAAAATTCCCTTGCTTCTGATTGGTTGTTGCATTGATCTTGATATCTACAATATTGGAGTTTTCAGGATTCTAGAACAGTCTACTTAAATTTTTCTAATTTATCTATTATTATTCTTTAGCTTGGAGCTGTTTTGAAAGCTTCCTTAAACCTTCTGATCCTCTTGATTCTAGACGATTCCTTCAGGTATACTTGATCTCCACATATATACTTGATCCCTTTAGGCGAACTTGTTCTTTTAAAGTATACTTGATACCTTCAGGCGAACTTGATCCCTTCAAATATACTTTATCCTTTCAAATATACTTTATCCTTTCAAATATACTTGATACCTTCAGGCGAATTTGATCCCTTCAGATAAACTTGATCTTTTCAAGTATACTTGATACCTAAAGGTATTTTAATTCCTAAAGGTAAAGTTGATCCCTTGATGATACATTATCCCTTCAGAGCTGAAAACTTTAGAATGGTGGATATCGGGATTAATGCTTAATCCACTCTTTTTCTTAAATCTCCAGATTAAATATTGCTTGTTCTCCTCTCATTTTTAATCTCCAGATTAATTATCCGATCAGGATTAAGGATATCCTATTCAAAAGTTTTCAGCTCTGGTTAACTTTATCCCTTCAGGAATACTTCATTCTTACAATGATTCTTTAGCGGGGTGCTAAAAAGCATGAATAAGTAAGACTGAGTAGTCAAAGCTAACTGAATATATATTTATCAAACAACCGTATTTATACAAGATGCAGTATACTATAATCTAAACAATAACAATAACAATGTGTACTGCATTACAGGAATCCAACAGGGGCGCCACAATTCCTTCAGAAATACTTGATCCCTAAAAGGGGAGATCCCTTTAGGTTTGCTTGATCCCTTCAGATAATCTTAACCCTTTTGGTATACTTGATCCCTTCAGATAATCTTAATCCCTTTAGGTATACTTGATCCCTTCAGATAATCTTAATCCCTTTAGGTTTACTTGATCCCTTCAGATAATCTTAATCCCTTTAGGTTTACTTGATCCCTTCAGATAATCTTAATCCCTTTAGGTATACTTGATCCCTTCAGGTAATCTTAATACCTTTAGGTTTACTTGCTCCCTTCAGATAATCTTAATCCATTTAGGTATACTTGATCCCTTCAGATAATCTTAATCCCTTTAGGTATACTTGATCCCTTCAGATAATCTTAATCCCTTTAGGTTTATATAAATTGTTAAAAATAACAAATAAATAAATAAATAATATTTTCTGATATTTAGGAAAACTATCGGTAGGGTTTGTCGGTTTAAAGTCAATCCTAGTAATAAACGAACAGATACTAGACGGTAGGTTTATTATCATGTTTTTTTTCATAAACTCTTTAAATTTTAATTTCAATTTTATTCAGTCGAACACATTTTCAAAGCTATTAAGAGAAAATAACAATTATTTACAAGTTTTGAAAATTGTTGAAAAGTGGAATTTATATTTCTTATATGTTGTCTTTAAACCATTTTCTCGGGATATTATGTAAACTTCTATCTTAAAATTTACCAACTGATTGTGCTACAAGGACTTTTGATTGTTTTTGATCGCCGAAACCACAATATTCATATTAACCCTAAACCAGGGGCGTATTCAAGAATTTGTCCAGGGGGGCTTAGATTTTTTTCTTTCCAGGGGAGAGGGCTTCAAAATATTTAAAAGATTTTACTGTTCCAATCAATGGATATAGATAACTTAGTTTTGAACTTGGGAGTAAGAAAAATTTCTCCGATATTTTGTTTTGAAAAAGTTTATTTTTTCAAATTTGTGACACATCCACTATTTAGGTCAGTGGCCAGTGGAGAAGAAAATGAAACCCGTCTTTAGATCTTTTGATAGAATTAATTTAAGAAATGAAATTGAATTTATTACGAACAAATCAGATTTTGGATGAAAAAACTTTTTGAAATTTACTTTGATCTACAGCTGACTGAAAAATAGAACCAATAATCAAAAACATAAATGTACAGGGTTACCCACAACCAATGTACAGGGTTACCCACAACCAATGTACAGGGTTACCCACAACCAATGAATGTACAGGGTTACCCACAACCAATGTACAGGGTTACCCACAACCAATGTACAGGGTTACCCACAACCAATGGAAATTTAACTAAACCTTTTTTGATACAGGGTGTCCCACTAAACAGACAGTTTAGAGATGACATGACGGTTTGCTTTGATCTTTACTTGCAGAGCTCGGTCATTCTTAAACCAGTTTTAATAATAACAAAATTGCCCAGGCCTTTGCAATTTTAAAAATGAAATATTTAGTTTTGAAATTGACAAAGATCAAGACGATATTCAAGTCCTCTCACAACTGTCATGTTTCGTAGGACACCCTGTATCTAAGAAGGTTTAGATAAAGTTTCATAGGACACCCTGTATAAACATTTTTTATTAAAATTTCTTCCCCTAATATAATTTCTTTGCTCATTGTTAAATGATTTGGTAAAATGAACAAGTTTTGAGCTGGGGGAAACCAAAAATAAGAAAAAGACTGATAAAATTAAGTAAAGTAAGAAGTCTCATCCTGAATGAGTAACCTTGTATATAACCCTGTTATATATTGCTTAAGTGCTGGAGGATCTCCTTGTATATAACCCTGTTATATATTGCTAAAGTGCTGGAGGATCTCCTTGTATATAACCCTGTTATATATTGCTAAAGTGCTGGAGGATCTCCTTGTATATAACCCTGTTATATATTGCTAAAGTGCTGGAAGATCTCCTTGTATATAACCCTGTTATATATTGCTAAAGTGCTAGAGGATCTCCTTGTATATAACCCTGTTATATATTGCTAAAGTGCTGGAGGATCTCCTTGTATATAACCCTGTTATATATTGCTAAAGTGCTAGAGGATCTCCGTGTATATAACCCTGTAATAAATGGCTAAAGTGCTGGAGGATCTTTTAACAGCTTAAGTCCTGATCCCGATATTGCCATTTAATCCCATTTAATGTTGTCAATACTAAATAAAACTGTACAACATGTTTATCAAAGCATAAAAAATGACCTTATATAGTTAAATTAGAAAACCAATCAAATTTACGAAGTATGATAAACTAAGAAATCTTAAATTTTGTAATTTTTATTTGAGTAATTAACCAATGGATCGTTGACCTGGACTATGTGTTAACTGTTACTTGTAGAATTCTTGAAACAATGGTTTGCTTTTTTTGGCTATATCAATATTGCCGGAGATTTTATGAATTTGTTCAGATTTCAATTTAATAATTAAACCAAAATTGTCGAAATAAAATTCTTCAAATCTCCCGTAATATTAACAGCACAAAAAGGCAGACTTCATTTTGGACCAGGGGAATTTTGTGATTATTAACTTTAAAATTAAGTCAACGCATGAATGCCGTTGCTTATTTTAAACATCAAAGCAAACCTTCATGTCGTCTTTCTAGTGGTCAAGTTTCGGGCATGCCCAAGTTTCCTGGGATCCTGTATAATAGTAATAATGTTAAAGCTGTTAAATAAAAAGATTATTTTGTAATGTATAGTTTTATGTAAATGTACAAAAATGTCATATTTGTTAGAAATATATATTTGTTTGATTTTTTTTTTGTTTAGCTATGTTCAACACACGTAGTATTTAAGTATATATCAATATTTGTTTTATATTTGTGTCTAGCTATGTTGAACTTACGTAATATTTAAGTATATATCAATATTTGTTTTATATTTGTGTCTAGCTATGTTTAACTCACGTAATATTTAAGTATATATCAATATTTGTTTTATATTTGTGTCTAGCTATGTTCAATTAACGTAATATTTAAGTATATATCAATATTTGTTTTATATTTGTATCTAGCTATGTTTAACTTACGTAATATTTAAGTATATATCAATATTTGTTTTATATTTGTGTCTAGCTATGTTTAACTCATGTAATATTTAAGTTTAAATCTATAATTGTTTTATATTTGTGTCTAGCTATGTTCAACTCACGTTATATTTAAGTATATATCAATATTTGTTTTATATTTGTGTCTAGCTATGTTCAACTCGCGTTATATTTAAGTATATATCAATATTTGTTTTATATTTTTGTTTAGCTATGTTCAACTCACGTTATATTTAAGTATATATCAATATTTATTTTATATTTGTGTCTAGCTATGTTCAACTCACGTTATATTTAAGTATATATTATATTAGAATAAAATCTGATACGCAATTTTCATCTAACATCTCTATTTTGAGCAGATTGAAAACAACATTAGTGTTTTAAATTTCTAATGAAATGTGAGCTACAAGGTCACAAGATCTGCACGGTATTTTTGCAATAATTATACTTTCGTCTTTCTGGTGGAGAGGGAAATGTAAAATTTAAAATTTAATTTAATATGTAAATTTTAAAATTTAAAATGTAAATTTTAAAATTTAAAATGTAAATTTTATAATTTAAAATTTAAAATTAACTTCTTTTATTAAAGAGCTGATGAAGATCAATTTTGAATCCGAAGTCCATGTTTTTATATTTATAAACTGTTTATTTTCGTTTGCGATTTCTCTGCAAAAGTGACAGTTGCGCATTACTAGCATCAGAAATAAAAAATAGATATTTATAAATAAAATATGACTATGTCAGAATATAAAAATATTTGATTTGCATTGTTACTTAGTATACGATAAATGTAAAGTAAATTAAAAATTGTATGAATTCTTGGTGAAAAGAAATCTGTCATTGACGATGGTATTTCTAATATTTGTTGTGTGCCTACAGATGGACATCGTTTTCGAGAACGAACGATGGATGAAAGAAATAAGATCGTTTTAAAGAAATGAAAAAAAATGTAAGAACGAATGATTTAAAAACGTTTGAACGAACTTGAAAATGCGATCGTTTTGTTCGATAAACAACGGAATCCTTTAAGCCTATAACACTAAAGTTTCAGTAGAAGTAAATATTTCCATTTACAGTTTAGCGCCGATTGAAGGATTCATAACTCTGATTGGATAATGAGATAGAAAGAATTAGATAGATGTTACCATAGATGGATCAGCCGCTAATGGACTCAGCATACAGGAGTGAAAAGTGTTTAATTGTGATTATTTCAATATGTTTACCTCCAGTAGAAATCAGCAATGCGCAGGCCATTTTTGAAGAGAACTCAGAATTAAAAATAATCACTTTACAAAATTATAAACATATAGATATTTCTAATTCATAATTGATCCAACAAATGCTTTAAAGGGTACCGTTGTGAATATGGCATTGTCATCTTTACACCTCGCAAATCTGTCCCTTTAGTAAAAGTAAATTCAACCTATATGAAGCATAAAGTCTGACCGCGTCAACCTTGTTGCACCGGCTAGTCCTGTCCATAGAGCTAGGTACAGTACAAACTGGGACCGGAAAGGTTGACCTGGCTCGGAGTTTCAAATGTACTACGGCTGCCCGTGACACGTAAGGAACATTTGGAACTTCGCTCACAGTCCCTTAACCAAAGAACCTCATCTTTCCTATAGTTCTTTCTGTAACCTTACTGAAGTGTGAAGCTCGATTGAGAAATCAAAAGTTTTGGTTGCAAGAAATCTTCTTTCACTTTGCTGCTAATAAAGGGGGAAGGTGGAAAGAAAACAACATGGTAATTAATCTATTATCAGAGAAGCACAGGGAATCTAGGGGGGGGGGTGTCAAGAGGCCCCAGGCCCGTCCTTGCCACTGTGCTTACGCTTAAATTACTGTGCTTACCCAGAAAATGACGTTATCAGAAAATACTACCCAAAAATAATGAAATTTTATATAATAAACTTTTGAGTTATAAAAATTTTAGAAAAATATGTTTTTAATGAAATAAAAAAGTCTTAAATATTCAATATAATACATGGAAGAAGACATTCAAAACTATTCAACAACTGTCATGTTTCGTGGGACACCCTGCAGCTGGTCGTTTTTTTATCGATGCATGTATCTAACAAACGTCACAACCGTTCAGACAAAATATTTGTTAAATTTTAAAAATCACCTCAAAATAATGTAGTTATGTTAAAGCATCTCGATCAATTTTCATCTTTTCCTCTTTACCTTCCATTTCATTCTTCATTTTTATTCTTTTCAGTTCAAATACTCTTCTGAACTCTTCCTTAATTCTATTTTCTTCAATATAAGCAGTTCTATTTATCAAAACTTCGTTTTTTTGCGCATTTTCAAAATTTTCTTGATTTCTAAAAAGCTTTGAAACCAAGTCGAAGCTTTTTTCAAGAATGAATTTCAACCCCATCATATCTGAAAAATATCATAAAACATATATTTGAAATGAATGTACACATTATAAATTATTTTTGTGGACTTTGAGATTGACAGACGATTTAAATTTTTCAAAAAATATAAAAAATAAAAATTTAAAAAAATAGCAATATTATTTCAATAGATTTAAGTAAAATTACAAATTACAAAAGGCAGGTTATTTTCTTGAAAAAATTTTTTTTCTTAAAATGACAATATTTTCTTGAAAAGATTGGAATTTATTCCAAATCCCAATGTTTTAAAAATAAAAATTGTAACCAATAACAAATTAGAATATTCTTTCAAAAGATTTAAGAATATTTTCTTTTTATGATGAACGATTATTTCCTTTTTTGTACACAACCTTAAAATACGAAAACATTTATTACAAGCTTAAAAGATAAACCCTGTTACGCGACGGTTTTGTCATTTTTTCCCTCGCCCCTGAGTTCTTCACATAAAAGATGTAAAGCCCCTGAAGTCGAGGGGGGGGGGGGACAAGTCAGTGCAGCAGTAAAACCAGTTTTGATTTGTAAACTAGGTTTTACATTTATACTTTAAGGACAGTTACTTGTTAGTTATATTTGATATTTTAATATAGAGTTACTGTTGGGATTTGTTTACGGCACATTAAGGTTGAACCCATTTCTTCATTATCCAAAGCACTGTTATAATCGAGGAGAGACCCTAAAAGAAGTAGAGTTGTATCCAAGGAATTCTAAGAAATAATGATGGTTGCGATCACCCTATAGCAGATCATGACAAGGTTCAATACACTACAGGATAGTTTAAGTGAGTAGATCAGCTCGCTAAACAAGTCCAATGAAGAATTAAGAATAAAAAATGGAAGCAAGGAAAATATTTTTTTTTAAAGAACCTTTTTTATAATAAAAAATAGTGAAAATAGTTCAGGAACGTTTAAAAAGACATAGTTTATGCATATTCAGACTTCACAAATATAAAAGTATAATTCCAAATTCTTACTATTAAGGTCTTCTGAAGTAAAACAAGAAACGTTAAAAAAACTAAATTTTTTCTTGTAAACAAATTAGAATTGATTCAAAATATTAACCAAAATTGAATTAACCTTAAAATACAAAAAAAATCTCCAAGTAGTTTGCTGCATTGGTTTAGAATTCTTTCTTAACCATTAGTCCAGAATCCATGGTTAAACTTGAGTTGGAGTTCATCAGAATGCTCTGAATATGTTGTTCCTGTAAAAGAAGGTTTTAAAGGGACTGTAAACGTATTTTTAAGTTTCCCTATGGATGTAAAAATGGCAACGCCTGATTTACAACAATACCCTTGATTCCTTTATCTGATCAATAGTGTGGAAGACACTGTTGTTTTATAGGTTTAAAAATGTTTATTTCTGATAATTCCTATATGCTTACTTGCAACGAAAATGCGCAAGTCGGTTTTTTAAAGAAACTACGTTTAAAAATAATCAGTTTTTAAAATTATAAAAATTGATCTTTAATTTATACTTGATCAGACAAAGCTTTACAGGGTACCGTTGTGAATAGAGCAAACCCGTCTTTGAAATTACACTAACAATCACTTTAAGAAACGGATTTAATTGACATAAACGTTTTTTTCAAAATACTTTGAATCCAGATTAAATAAAAGCAAGAATTAGTTGAACCACTTCTCTTGAAGACACCTGGTCAAGCTGAAGAAAAGAAGTTCAACTTTGTCTCGCTTTAGATTTAATCTGCAGTCCTTAACTATTTCAAGCTAAGTAATTTGCTGTATCAAAAGTCAAAGTTTAAAATTGCAAAAATATGAGGATTAAGTAAATATAAAATTTGAGTTTTCGGCAAATGTTCAGTTTCCTATAGTAAGAAATTTTGATATGGTATCTGAAAATCCAGTGAAAACCAGAAAACCAGAGGAAAAATACATTAAAACAATCTTTTTTGTCTCTTTATTATTGTTGCAAAGCAAATAGTTTTACAAACAACTTATTAGGTAACTTGAGTCTGTGTAGTGTATACTCTTCACAAATGTTGTTTCCCATGTTCACTGGACTATTCAAAGTCATAACTTGAGTTTAAAGTCATCTTTCTATGCCACAGATTTTACTGGATATACAAAAATGAATGTCTCAAAAAAGGTTTATTTTATTTATTTAATAATCTGATCCAATTAAAAACTTTACAATTTTCTAACTTCCTGGATCCGCGATTCCGAATATTTTTACTGATCTGGATTCAGGGCCGAATCATTTTACTGATCCGGATTCAGGGTCGGATCATTTTACTGATCCGGATACAGGGCCGGATCATGATCCGGATCCTCCTCGAGCTGTATTAAAGAAAGTGTTCACTGAAGATAACACTGGTGGTTTTTTACAGTTCTCTGATTACTATAATTGCTTGCCATTCATGTTATTTAAATAAACATGTTTAACTAGACATTTTACTTTTGCAAGTGCCAAATAGAAAAGCCAGCCCAAAAGTTTCAACTTTTATCTTTGAGATTTCAATTAATTAGTTTCCACCATGAAGTTTTTTGTGGGGAAAGATTTTAAAATATATTTGGTGTGTGAAAAACTTAATAAGCTGGCAGTGGATACTGATCCATGGATCAAAAATCCAGATCTGGATGAAATGATCCATTCCAATAGATTCCGAAGCCCTGCTTTAATCTAAATCAATTCCTACCTCTCGTTGGAGTGAGCCCTCCCTCTGCTGGTGTGTGAGGAAGATGTAGTAGGATATGAGCAGAGTGCAGCAAACCATCCCAATCAACAACAATAAGGAAATCACTATAAAAATGAGGGAACACTGTTCTTTTCAGAAAAGTAATTTCAAGAAACCCTACATGCAGATATGGCAATGTTTGATTCACAACGGTACCCTTGACATTTTTTAACGGGATAGTAATGGGAAAATAACCTGTCACTTTTCTAGGCTTAGTCGTGTTTGATTTTGGTAATTCCTTCATGAATCAGTTTTCAAAATTATTAACATTAATATCAAATTCTTTCATGATCGGACAAACATTTTAAGGGTACTATTGAAAATCGGACATTGTCATTTTTGCACGGAGGGTTCCTTTGAAATTTTGCTGTCAGTCCCTTTGACAATATTTGAAGAAAAAAGATCTAAAGTTAGATTTTCGAGAAAAAAAATAATTAGTAAATTTCTACAAAAAAGGAGCTCTTTGGGCCCTAACTAGGCATACCTTCCTCAGGCCCATTTGAGGCCTTACAAAGAATTGGGCTTGATCAGTTTTGCAAGTTTGACTTCTATTTTATACATAGTGTCCTACAAAACATGACAGTATCAAGGTCGTTTTTGACTTTTAGATAATTTGCTGCTTTTTTGTTAACATAACTTAAGAAGTAAATGTATTTATAATAACTAAATACCCCCTAGTCCTGTCATGTTTCGTGGGACACCCTGTATTGAAAAACACCAAGACCAAAATTTGTTTAGAACATTCATTCCTTTAACTGTGAAACGTTTAGTTTCATCCAGGGGCGGATATAAGGATTTTGTAGGGGGGGGTAAAAATTTAGAACTTTGCGCGCGAAGCGCGCCGAAATTTTTTTTACCCCCCCCTAGAATTTTTTTTACCCCCCCCTAGAAAAATATCATGATGTATATCAAATTATTGGTTTTAATTGGGTTTGATTTGCATTTTCCACTCATTTCTGGGATTTACAAACTCAATCTAATAAAGGCTTCATTACATACCTTTCAGCTTTCACCTTGTTTTATACCCTTCATTATAGTCATTCATTTTACATTAACTACAAAGATCTGTAAAAAAACTGAATTTACTTTA